AGATATCTTGGGGATGGGATCCAAATCTAAATACAAAATTCGTTATTGGTTCATACACACTTAATACATATAGGCTAAATATAACTTTGCATTTAATAGTTTTGTACTGCAGCATATTAGCTATGACCCATCACATGAGGTCAGGTGTAGAATGTCTCACTTGTGATGCCATGTCTGTACTCAAAAAGTTTTAAATTTTAGAGCATTTTGGATTTTGTATCAGAAATGCTAACTGTATTTCTTGCCCAAATGAATAATGGTATAATTGGATGAGTTAGAAAAATGCTACAAAATATAAGCTTACAACTCAAATTAGGGAAAAAAACTGGAAAGATAAATTTAACCTAGAAAAATATCTCAAGACATTTATGTCTAAATGTTAACAAGGAAACCTAGGTAAAAATCATTCTTTTCTTCTACCAATACGTATTTTCTAATTTCTCTTCTATTAACAAGTATTACTTATGAAATTAAGAAATGTTTCCTTTTAATGATTACCAGACAATTCTGTTTAAAACAAAAAAATGGTTTATTACAAAACCGTTTCAAATATCCCAAATTACTATACTCACCCCATACAGACAATATTTCACTTCAACAGTACAAAATAAACTTTAAAAAACATTTCAGAGCTTAACAACTGATAAGCCAGTTCAAATTTAACATTAAAGTGGAAAAAATTTAGATGTATGACTAACACAAATGACAGCTCTTTAAGACAAAATTACAAGGAATTATATCCAACACTTAAAATTCCATGTCTTCAGTAAAATAACGCGTTCATGGGACCAAAACTTGCTTTAAAATTACCTTTTGTTTTTCTCTATAATCTTCTCCTTTAGGTGGTCGAGGAGCCTTGGGTGCTTTAGGTTCACTAACACGAAGAGCTTCCTGGAAATAAGCATCTACAGCATAGTTGGCTTTTCTTTCTCGTTTAGGGGTTTCAATCCACTCTGTGAATGCAATCTTTTGTTTTTCTCTATAGTCTTCTCCTTCAAAATTATAAACACTGGACTCTGTATCCATTGTAAAGTTTCTAAGTGAGCTTTCACCCATCTTGGAGAGCTTTTCATTCATCTCTGCGGTCTTCTTTGCACCTCTTTCCAAAATACCATCAATATCCTCATCAGTGATCTCACTTTCCTTTGAAGCAAACACATGTGTTGCCCCATGTCGAATCATTTGAAGCATTTCATCTTTCCCAATTTTGTTCAGATTCTGATCCACAAGCCTCCCTGAAAAAACATTGTATTATGTAATATGAACTGAACAGACTTTATTTTCCTAGAAACTTGAATTTTTAAATGTTAGATATAATACTATGCCATTCTGTCTCAAAGATAAATCATCTTATTCACATCTGATTTCCATTTTTACATTAAATGTACCATAAAATTGTAAATTTTAAAAGTAAATTTTGGTAAGCTTTGAAATGCTTCTAAAGCAAATGTATTTTATAAAACATCTGTGGTGTGAATACAGTAATTTGGGGTACTTAAAAAGCCAAATTGACTAAGTTCTTAAAAACCCATTAGTTTCAATAGATGAATTATAAACTTAAGAAACTTCTGATGAGCAGAAAGAAGTTAATACTCCCAAATATTTCTTCTCAGAAAAGTACAATAATCTTCATTATAGCCAAACTTTATAATAAAGAATTAAAATATGAACATCAGTTTCTGAAAACCTGCTGATCAAAGGAATTGAAATTCCTGAAAACTAATTATGACCACAAAAGAAAAATTCAACGTTCAACTGGTGGGCAATTGGCCAACGCTGTAATTTGTGTTTTTAAAAAGAGACATCAAAATACATACATTCCCACAAAGAACTGTTGTCACCCTTAAAGGTAATTCATATACACATGAAGCAAGCTTCAATATCTGTATTACAAACCAACTTGTAATTTGTGAATAAAGATCCCAGTTGTTTCAACAACTTAACACTTTTATCATGGTTTTGGCTCCCTAATAGATTATACAACCAAACATCTATGATTTGCAAAATGAGGATATACCCACAAAACATGGTTCTTTGGATCAGAAACAATCTCACTGCTATCGAAATATTCTTAGGCTTATGCAAACTACTTCCCTGTTGGGCAGGGAGGAAAGCTATTCAGATAAAGTGCTTCTGTGTAATCCCATATTTTCAATTATGTCCCTTGGTCCACAGACCAATTAACACAGAGGCATATACTTCAGAGTTGCTATTTAACTAATATGTGTACAAATGAGAAAGATAACAAAACTACCACCATGTAAGTTTACTCCAAAATTTGCCTCAGCAAATACTAAAAAATAACAGTAACAAAAATTTTTTAAGAAAACCTTGTATTTCTAAGTTAATTATAAACCAATTAACTTTTTTGTTCATTTTTTTGTTTTTGCCATTGGGCTGCGCTGCCAGAGAGGGAAAGTGAGGAATCATCCTTCAGGGAGTATAACCATGCTGCAATGTCTTCTCTTCCATTCTCCCTCTCAGGATTTTGGGAACAAACACGTAAGCTCCCAGCATTGGTTTTAAAGCCATTGTTGGGTCCAGGACTAATACCGTGGGTCAGCAAGGTGGGATTCCAGAACCTTAACCACATCACTTGCTGGTCCCAAGACTTTTTTTTAAGACTTTGATAAAAAGTATTTCCCAACCAAGAGTAACTGAGAACAAGAACTACATGACAGGTGCTTTATCAGAACACATGGAAGAATGTGAGGAAAACAAAACACTAGCGATCACACTACCCATGAGATACCTAGGATTTGGCAGGCTCCAGATGCTCCCAGAGGCAATCCTAACTGTGCATTCTAATAGTTAATGTAGTTATTGATACTGAGTCACTACCCAGCAGCAGGGTGAACAAATGACTTAACACCTCTCTTAGGCCTCTACCTCTAGTGCCAACTTCATCAGGTTGGCATAAAGACTAAGGAAAAATGATGGATGTTACGAATTCAGGATACTGGGACCAGCAGATGGCATAATGGTTACATTGCTGGACTCCCACACAGCCGCCTGCGATTTAAGTCCCAGACCCGACAGCTCAAAACTCATACCGGGCATGTGTGCACGTGTGCCCAAAACCCCAAGAGGAAAATGAAGGAGAAACGACTGTGGCATGGCCATCCCCACTTAGGGGAATAATTTCTTGTTTTCTGTCTCTGATGTGAGCGCATTAGCCCTGTAGCAAAAATCTCTAAAAAAAAAAATTCAGCACACTGACACAAACTAAGCACCCAATATTAAGCCATTATCAACTATCAAACATTAATAACAATAAGCAATTGTTTATTATCAGGTATTCAAGATGGTTGGCATTATGGGATACCAAAACATTCCTTTACGTACATGAAAATTAAGAAACTGATTAACAAAACCAATATACAACATAAAATAATCAGTTAATTAGTGTATATCTTTCAGCTTCAGAGACAGATTTTTATTTATTTTTAAATAATTATTTTTATTTAATTTTATTATTATTTTAATTTGACCAGAGAAAGAGAGAAAAAGAAAGTGACAAAGCAAGCTGCCAGGTCCAAGACTTAAACTGCAGTCAGCCATATGGGGGAGTCCAGCATCTTCAACCACCACACCTGCCGGCCCCAGAGACAAAGATTTTAAAAGTGTATGTTCACAGTACAGTTAGAGAAGGAAAGAAACCAGTGTGCCCCTGAGGCTAAGTCTCCATCACTCCAATTTTTGCATTTTATGTATTTTATCAACTTTGTAATAAGCTTCAAAAACAAATTTTGTCTTTCTTAAAAACTTATCTGGGAAATACTCAGACAAGAAGCCATTTTAAAGCTGAGGTGTGTCCTGGCCTGTTCAGGGTAGCTATGTTCTAAACTCCATCTCCTAGACTCCCAAAATACTCAGACAAGGTAGGGCAACCTCCGTCTTTTCTCTGTCTCTAGCTGTCTATCTGTCTCACACTCTCCCTTTAAATTTTTGCTTTTATTTTAATTTTTCAACCATTTCTCACCTTCCGCCTTTTCTTTCACTTGCTAATTCCAGAAGCCATTTTAAAGCTGAAGTGTGTCCTGGTTTTCATTTTGTTACGGGTAAAAAAACTTTTTATTCCCTCTGTTGGTAGTATTTTTCTAGTTTTTTTTTTTTCTTTTTACTTATTTTTTTTTTACCTTACTTTTCCACTCTAAGCTTCACTCACCACACACTGAACGTCTAGATAGGTCTAGATGCACAGCAGGCAAGCATCTGAATACTATTAGTCACTGAAATCCTCATCGCTTATTGAACTTCCTGCTTTAATGAAGAAAATTTCTTTTTATAAATCTGAACTCCTAAACTTTCTGTGGATACCACATTGTGAAGCACAGTGGAGGACAGATTTTGTCACAGAATGACCAGAATCAACCACAGAGGCAATATACACCATAAAAAATAATCAAATGGGAATCAGCAGTTAGCATAATGGTTATGTCGCTGGACTCCCATGTAGCCGACTGCACGCAGTTCGCGTCCCGGACCTGATGGGACCTGATGGCTTAAAACTCACACCAGGCACATGTGCGTGTGTGCCCAAGATCCTGAGAGGAGAATGGAGAAGGGATTGCAGCATGGCCATCCCCCCAAGGAAGTGAGTTCTCGTTTTCTGTTTCTCTGTCTCTCTCTGTCTGCCTGGCGAGCACACGCGCCCTATAGAAAAAAACTCTCCAAAAAAAGAAAAAATCAAATGGAGCTATTAGCGATAAAGGATGCCATTCAAGAAATCAAAACCTCCCTCGAAAGTATTAAAAGCTGATTAGTCCATATAGAAAATCAAATCTTGGATGTTGAAGGCAAAACCTCTGATCTAGAAAAAACAACCAAAATAACATAACATGTTGTTATTTTCACGTAACATTTGGGGTTGTGTGAAAATAACCCCCCAAAATAAGAATACTATATGAGAAATACTAGACGGCATTAAGCGCCCAAACATTCAGATAATCGGTATCCCAGTAGGTGAGGAAACTAATAAGGATGCTGATAATTTATTTTATGAAATCCTGGAAGAAAACTCTCAAAATCTAGAAAGGCTTTCAAATATCCAGACCCAAGAAATAAGAATGACCCCTAGTAGAATCATCCCAAGATCTCCTCCAAGGCACATCATAGACAGACTGGCAAAATCTACAAAGACAAGATACTAAAATTGGCAAGAGAGAAATATCAGGTTACTTATAAAGGTTATCCAATCAGGTTAACCTCAGAACTCTCATCAGAAACAATGAGAGCAAGGAAAGAATGGGAAAATATATTCAAAGTGTTAAGCGAAAAACAGTTTCAACCAAGAATACTATACCCCGCAAGATTATCTTTCATATGGAAAGAAAGGATAAAAACATTCTCAGATAAACAAGACCTGAAAGAATTTGCCAATAGCAGACCCACTCTTCAAGAAGTTCTGAAAGTAGTGCTCTACCAGGAAAACTGAAGACACATACAGAAATCAGAGAACGAAAGGCAACCAAGAAAACGACCAATTTAATGCTAGATGGCCTGGCACCATAAACAGTTCTGTCTGGCAGAGATAATTAGAGAAACTATATGAAAGAATTTATAACACAAAATAGCCTAGACTTTTCCAGCCCAGCATTGTTATCAGTAGAGATTGCAAGAGAGCAAACACACCAGAGGATTATCTTGAAAATCTTTGAAGGAAGAAAAAGAGACTGATTTTTGCTAGCAGATGGTGTATCACAGAATACTTGGTATTGAATTGAGAAGGTTTATGTGTTACTAATGTTTGCTTTTCAACGATTTGAGTAGTTGACATGTAAATGTTTTCTCAAAAATATTTAAAAACGGGGCTGGCAGGTGGCATGGTGGTTAAAGGCGCCGGATTCCCACATGGCCAACTGTGGTTCAAGTCCTGGACCTGGCGGCTTGCTTTCTTACTTTCTCTCTCTCTCTCTCTCACGTTGTCCCTCTCTGGTCAAATTTACATAAACAAATGAATAAATAATAAATAAAGTTAAATAAAATAATTAAAAATATTTTTAAAATATTTAAAAACATACTGTCTGTTATTATAGTCACAAACAAAATTATACAAAATTGTAAGAAATATTTTGAATGTTATCTTTAAAATTTAGAATTCTGAAATCTTTAAAGTTATTAACTGTCAAGAACAATGGAGTATGAGCAAAAATTTTTTGATATGTAAAGTAAATGTTTGTAGAAAATGTAAATATAAAAAAATGCAAAAAAAGTATCATTAAAAAAACTTATCTGAAATGAAAACTTCAACTTTTCTTCAATTTAAAATAAAATCTCACCCTATTCTAATTCCATTTATATTATAGTGTATACATATTCTGTATCTCCTTGTCATTGAAGTGTAAATTCCTTGAAAGTAAGAGCATTTGTCTGTCCTGTTCAACACTGTATTCTCAGCACCAAGAACAATGTCTGGAATCTGGTGAGTGTCCTTGTTGAGAAGAAAAAAATCAGCCTTTTTGATTTTGATTTCTCTACTATCCCCCCAGAGCAATCGAGAGTACGTAATACATGTAAGTCTTAACCAAGGCCCTATTTAACATGTACCATACAGAGTATCAGATGTTTTAGATACATTATCCCCTTTAGTCCTTGTATCCTAAGCAGTCATTACTTCTATGACCATTTAATACAGGAGGAAACAGGCTCAGGTAGTGGAAGAGCACTAGTAGAGAGCCAATATTCAAACCACAACTTTCCTGAGCCCCAAACCCATCTTCTTAATAACGAAACTAAAGTTTATTATCTCTATGCTATTTGACTCAACAGATGCTTAATTAATAAGAATCTCCTAAATAATTTTCAGGGAAAAAAATTGTATCAATCCTATTTAGTAATTTTTTAAAGCAAAGGCTCACCTTGTTGAATAACTATTGAATCCAGTCGGAGTTTCATCTCAGCACGTTCCACTATCCTTTCTTCAACGGTATTATCAGTTATAAAGCGGAACACTCTGACTGTCTTGGTTTGCCCAATTCTATGTGCTCGGTCCTAAGTGAATTATCGTATTATTTTGAATATCATTTAAAAAGTCACATAAATAACATTTAAATGGTACGCTGAGAAACAAAATTAAAATACTATAAAGTAGAAAAAAGTTTTAAAAAAAGTAACAACTACAATAAAAAGTTTCATGTACATTAGTATTTCTTAAATTCTCAGTTTCAATCAAAGTAATTGGTTATCTCATAAGGAAACCTCTAAGAGGTATGGGATACACAATACCTGCTGAGTAACCATCAAATTAATTTTTCCAAGTTATACTGAGATAAATACATGATATATCTCCAGATAATATAAACATAATTGTAATTTTAAACTTTGATAACATAAGTTTTGTTTAAATATTTTTTTCCTTAGTTTTACTCACCAAACTCATCTCCCTTCCTCTCTAGGGCACAAATATATTATCATTTCCGATTCCCTTTTATTCAGTTTTGCTCCCTAATTTGAGTTTTGGTTAATAAATGTGAGAATACTTTTAGGTCTGGGCCATTAAAAACTTCCTGAGAAATCCTCAACTTTCCTCCTTCCCCTTTTGGCTAATAGAATGTAAAGGATACAGCAGAGGTCCCCAACATCTTAAGTTATGGCAGTGCCATCAAATGGAAATACCCTGATTTAGATGGAAGATTATCTCAAAATACCTTCACTGAAACAACAGGCCAGAGAAAAAATTCTATCAAGTGACATCACTGACATCTGTAGAATTAGCCTGCCCCAATAAAACATCCACTAAGCAGAGGATGCATTATTATCTCTTACCATAGCCTGGAGATCTACTTGAGGATTCCAATCTGAATCATATAAAATCACTACATCAGCAGTAGCAAGATTGATGCCAAGCCCACCAGCACGTGTGCTTAGCATGAAAACAAACTTTGTGCTGTTCGGCTCATTGTATGCATTGATGGAATCCTAAAAATAAAGAAGTGAGTGTCAGCATATTATTTTATCTGCTATTTGTTTATCTTCCCCTCCCCAAATTTTACTCACTTGTCTCTCATCATGAGGGGTTTGCCCATCTAACCTACAGTATTCATAATTTCTCCACATGCAATAATCTTCCAAAATGTCCAATACCCTTGTCATTTGACTGAAGATTAGTACTCGTGAACCTGTTGGTGAATATAACATCCCATTTTATCAGAAGCTTTAAAAGTTGAAAATTTAAGGCTAACCAAAACTAAGACTCATCAATTAACCCCTTAATTCTGAAGTACCTACTTGGCTACTAGGAAAAGAAAACACCGACTTAAAATTAACTGTTCATGTCAGTCATTCCCCACCTCTCTGGCCATCAGAGCAAATAAAAACGGGTAATGTTTATATAGCACACTAAGGTAAACAGAAAAGGACAGTTGCTTCTAGTCTGGCAGGTCTTGTTTTCTCAAAAACAGAGAACTGTTACCTTTTCCCTACTCCACACAACTCTTCCATGCATATAGCGCCCCATTTCTCCTCCCAACACACAATGAAAAGCCCTGGTGTCATTTTGGTTCTGAAGAGCCATTCCAGGTCAAAGGGCCACAAATGTATGCCTCACATGTACACTGTCCTTCACTTAATCTGCCATGATTCAAATTATTCACATGTCTTTATTTCTTCAACCAGCTACACAATGCCTTCAGAAGACAAAAGGATCATTTTTAAAAATGGTTATGAAATGATTATCTTAAAAGTTGAGGCTGAAGAACAGCAGGAGTTACTACTCCCACATAGTCAACTGTGGTTTGAGTCTCAGAACCAAACTCACACCTGGCATATGTATGTGCATGCCCAAAATCCTGAGAGGAGCTTGAAGAAGGGATGGCGGCACAGCCATCCCCCTGGGAGGTGATTTCTCACTTTCTGTCTCTCTGGTGATCACACGCACCCTACAGCAAAAACCTCTAAAAAAATAAAAATAAAAAAATAATGAGTCTAACAGTTTTTGTTATACATTCCTTTACCCTAAATACATAAGGATATTCATAGTTCTCTATGTTCTCTAAAGAGTTTAATATAGCTTCATCAATATCTGAGTATTATTGCCAAGTTCCTGCCACTCCTCCCTACCAATTCAATTTCTTTGATTACTTCTTTTTAAGGGAAGCATTTTGGAAAATATATTTTCACAAAAAGGTATAAAAAGGAAAAAAAAAAAGTAAGCCAATCCAATCATAAGTCTTAAAATGTTTTTGATGACCAGTATCAGAGATTTGTCATTCTTATCAAAATATACAGAGAAACACAAACATAAATTTGTGATCTGACTGCATATTTGATGTTACAGAATCACTAAATTTTTATAGGAGTGGCATTTGTCTTTAAGAAATATATAGGGCCAGTCCCATAGCATAGTAGCTAAGTGCTGCACACAAAAGGCTGGATTCCCATTAGCAGACCAGGGTTTGAGTCTCAGTTCTGTCAGCTTAAAAAATACTTCATGATATAGTCCCCCATTTCTCCTCCCAAAACACAGTGAAAACCCCTCGTGTCATTTTAGTTCTAAAAACCCATTACAGGTCAAAGGGCCACAAATGTATGCCTCATATAGCTCCATGCACATATATCTCCAAGATCATGACAGGAGTGAGAATGGTAGTGGAAAAGGAATTCCAGCATAACCATGCCCCATTGTGGGATGCTTTCTTTCTTTCTCTCTCCCTCTTGTACCCTCTCGCACTTAAAAAAAAAAAAAAGCTATATAAATAAAATGTCTGGGAAGTAATCCAAATAATCTGGAAAAAGGAAAGTATAACATAGTTTTACATTAGTAGAATTGCTGAAGCTAGCTTCATACTAAACTAAGTTCTCTCTATATTCATGTAGCTTAAATATATATTTTATATATACATATTTTTTGCCCAAAATCACCAGGGCAAGGATGCAGAACCCGGCTCTCTTAACCATTAGGCTACTTGATCTCTCTTTCGTTTTCTTTATGCCCACAATACTTAATATTCACACTTATGCCTTGAGCCTTGAGAATATTATTTTAAAAAAAATTTTTAAGTACAAAATGCTCTCATTAGGTGGAATTAAAACAAAGTGGTATGGGGTGTGTGTATCTAGGTATGCCCATGTTTATATTAAGTCAACACACTGTAAATAAAAATTTTGAGTCCATGTATGTAATGTTTCATTAAATAAAAACTCAAACATAAATAACTCAAAGACTAGGGCCAACAGGTGGTGTGGTGGTTAAGGGTGCTAGACTCCCACATGGGGGACTGTGGTTTGAGTCCCTGACCTGACTGCTTGCTTTCTCACTCACTCTCTCACTTACTCTGTCCCTCTCCCATCAAATTAAAATAAATTTCAATACAAAACAATAACAACTCAAAAGACAACACCATAAAGTCAATACCACTGTTTAAGACAGGAACTGCATATGGGATGAAGTATTCTCGGCCTTTTTTATAACAAAATCTAGTTTCTAGAAAAGCACATATAAAATAAGAACTCTCCTCAACACAAGGAGTTTTGACACTCTAACCACTGATCACCTTCTAAGAGATTTGTGACCTAAAATTAGGGTTTGAGGTAAAGGGCAGGCGCTCAGCTCAGATAATGGATATGCTTATTAATATTCTATACGTCAACTTTAGAGACTGTCAATATAGTCCTTTCAAACTGTAGTACTTCCTTATTTTAATATCAGAATTTCCCCCAGTTTTTTTTTTTTTTTTAATTTTTCTACTGTGGGGGAGAAGAAGGGACCCTCAACAGAATCTCACCGTGCCACCATCCTACATCTCCTAGCCTTCTAGCTAGCCAGTACTGCAGGTGCACCCAGCATGTTCAAGTCGGTCTGAATCCAAACACCAGGATTTCCCATATGGCTCCAGTATCACAAACAGACCACCACCACCTACACCACTGTGGCTAGGCCATAATATCAGAATTTCTAAGATTTCATTGCTTCTCAATTTGATATCAATAACACAGACAGATACCTTGCTCTTTTAATTTCGGGAGTAGCTTGTCTAATACCACCATTTTCCCACTGTTGGTAACTAGATGCATATCTGTTGTGTAAGGAGGACCAGGTTCAGCTCCATCAAAAAGATATGGATGATTACAACATTTCCTCAGCTGCATCAGGATGTTCAATAACCTCATTTTGTCCATCTTCCCTGCTGAGTTTAGTATATCTATATCCTTCATTAATATCCGAGTATACCTATTAAGAAAAGAAATATTTTTAAAAGGCTCATATGTTCCTACTGACCAATCCCTACCACTTTACAGACTTAATTCCATTCCCCACCTCCAGTGCCAAAAACTTGTAACAAATAACCCATCAACTTCTAAAGTATGGTTACAAATTTACCATCTGTAACCTTTCTGTTCTCTTTTTTTAACTGGCAGACAGTGCAGAAGAGAAACAAAGAGAGAGAGGGAGAAATGATCCACCCCCTCCAGTTGGGCATGGCCATGCCACAATCCCTTTTCCATTTATCCATTTTGTCAAGATTTGGGGTATAGATGCACACATACCTGGTGTGTTTTTCAAACCACCAGGCCAAGGATGCAGAACCTGACTTTTTTTAACCATTAGGCTACACGATCTCTCTTGTTTTCTTTATGCCCACAGTATCTAATATTCACAGTTATGCCTTGGGTCTTGAAGATATTATTATTTTTTTTTATTTTTTTAAGTACAAAATACTCTCATTGGGTGGAATTAAAGCAAAGTGGTATGATATAAAAATTGTAATTAAGCAAAACCTAAAACATACATTTTAAACAAAATTTTAGTTTGTAGTCTTTTGTAACATTAAGTGCTACTATTCAATTACTATATACCATGTAGCTAATGTAACATTTAGGTAAGAACCCTCAGATCTGAGGATGAAGAATCAACCTCTGTTAAGAGGTAAAGTGCCGTGATGAGACTCATCAATGATGAGACTAAGATGAAATAACAGTATGATTTAAACATACGTATAAATACATAGCAGAAGAAAGACTGGAGGTCTGTGAAGCTATAGCCATACACTAAGACCAGAATGCATACCAAGAATATAGGCATTATTCTTACAGAATGAGTAATCTGTCTAAACTAAAGCAATCTATGTTTAAACAACTATGGGGTTCAAAATATTACTCAAGGTAGAATTTTTCACTACAAGTCTGACAGAAAACCCACTGATACATCTAACTAAAAAGACCTATATTCCCTTATCTCTGATTAATAAATTAGTACTGTATTTTAGGGACATACAAGACAAGTCTAGTATCTCTGCTATCCAGTAACAGCCTTTCAAAAATTTTAAGAACATTAAAGGTTGCCAACTTTCTACAATGGACCTCTCCCAGATACCCACCCGTTTTCTGTTATCTTTCAGTCCTTTTACTAACAACGTTGAACCCTTATGAGTAATTATCTGAATTAAGTGTAGAATTGAATATACTTGAGGATTCAAATCAAGGTATCTCATTTTCCCTCCTGTGAACATAAATAATGCTTATTTAATATATGCTAAGTAAACTATATCTTTTTCTGTAGCAACTTTACATCGTTAATTGACATTTATTATTGAGAGGTTTTTGCTATAGGGTGCATGTGCTCACCAGAAAGACAGAGAGAGAGAGGGGCGGAAAGCAAGAAATCACCACCACCCGCCCTTGGGGGGGTGTGTGGCCATGCCGCAATCCCTTCTCCATTCTCCTCTCGGGATCTTGGGCAGGCACGCACGCATGCACACGCACCCGGCGTGAGTTTAAGCCACCGGGTCTGGGACTCGAACCCCGGTCAAATACATGGAAGTCCAGCGACATAGCCATTACGCTAACTGCTGGTCTCTTCACATTGCGTTTTCTACCTACAAAAAATTAGTATCATGGCATTGCAAAAACTCCATGGAAAAATAGAATTAAAGAATAAGTTTATTCTGGAGAAAAACAAATTTGAAATCAATGCTATTTTTTTCATAGAATGCATTCCCCATGAAGATTTAAGAGGTTCCTAGTAATGAGTCAGTGGTTTCTAGCCTTTGGATTTCATAAATCCATAATATTATTAAAAATGCAAAAAAATCTTTAAAAATTAACAAAGCTTTCAACATTTAATTTTGCCAAATAAGACTATTTACAAACAACTACCATGGGACCAAGCAGTGGCACAGCAATTATATGACTGGACCCACAAAAGAAAGGTCCTGGGTTTGCATCCCAGAAACTCCCTGAGCATGGTATACATGCGTTGCTTTGGGCTAACTGAGACTGTCTGTGTATCACAGCATAAAGACACAGATGGGAGGGGCTGCTTGCTCCTCTCTTCTCTGGTCTCTCTAAACAAATGTTTGTTTAAAGAATGTTTAACAAATGTTAAACTTAAAAAGATATACAAAAGCTACAATATACTGTCGCCATGATTCTACAGGACATTTTTATTCTGCATAAAACATTAGCTCAAAATGAAAAAATTTTTAACTGAAATAAGCACAGCTTTATGGAGTAAAAGTTCTCTAAGCTCCATGATCAATAACTTCATTAGAAGCGAGTGCTAATACATGATCTAATATTCCTGAATCACCCAATTAACTGTATGTCTCTAGTTTGTGCCACCAGTTTCCCCTTAAAAACTCAAGTACAGGCTTTACATGTAACCTTGTTCAATTAAATCCCAAGTTTAATTTTTGGATTCATAAACCTTCCACCCTGATTCTAACACCCAACCAACAGAATCAAGACTTTGTATCATAAATTTGATGAGCAAGCCCTATATTCCATGACCAGAAAACTCTTTTTCAGAGTTTTTTAGTTCAATCCAGCAAACAGGAATTCCACGAAGAATCAAATTAGAAAAATAAAATACAAATGAAACTTAGAAAAAAATCAATAGTGATATCAACACGTCTCAGAATACATACCATTCCCTCTGCATTTTGCTGAGACCCACATAGATTTTTACTTCCTTCTTTGGAGGCAAACTCTTCTCAACATCTGCCTTAATCCGACGAAGGAGGAATGGACGCAAAACCTTAGAAAAAGCAAAATGAAACAGGGATGATTTAGCTGTAATATTGGTACTGTTTCTGCAGCGGCACACACAACCTACAGCAAATTTTAAAGAAAAAGTAACCACCAACTATATCACACAACAAAATACTTAGTGAGAAAAATAATCAACACTTCTCTTGTTTCATTACGTAAGTTAGCTGTATGACATAGACAAGAGCCGGCAGCAATCGCCAGACATGAGTGAAAACCCTCGGCTCCACTGGATCTTTTCTAAAATGTTCCAGCTAAATGTAGTTGGGCAAATCCAAATAAAATTAGCAAAGAAATCGCAGCCAAACCATAAATATTGAGGTTGTTATTAAAATACAAACTATTAGGCTAGTACAGCTCAGTGATTAAGGCAGCCAGGTACCACATGGTCCCCTAACCTTGATTCACATCCTGGACTCGTAGCTTGAAAAACATGCCAGATGCGTATATATGCATGCCCTAAATCCCAACAGGATGAAAAAATGGAGAAGAGCTTGTGACATGACCTTATACAACTGAGGACTGCTTTCTCTTTCTGTCTCTCTGGTGAGTATGCACACCCTCTGGCAATTAAAAGGTGCTTTCCTTTGCTGGGGGAGGGGGGGCGCCAGGCATAATGTTTTATAGCACTAGATAACTGATTTATCAATTAGTATGTTATTCCTAAGCATATGCACACTAACTGACCTCTAAATGTCCCTTTCATTACAGGACCACAGATGCCACAGTATGAATTTTGAGTAAAGAGCAGGACTAAGTAAAGAGGGAGCTACCAGACCTCTCTGCCTAACCTGATTAGTATCCTCTAAACAAAATGAAACTATCAAAATCGGCTAATCCTGCTATATTGGTTGTTTCAGTTTGCTTCCCCTATATGTACCCATCTATCTATTAAAGAAGAGTAGAGAGCAGAGGGATAAAAGAAAAAAAATGCAGAAGGAAAAATAAGAGTTCCTCTGTTCCCCTTTCCATCCCTGGGATTATACATACAGTTTTTCAAGTAAACCTAAATGAAGTATTTAGATGCCTGAACATCATCTAAACTGAACTATAATTAAAGTGTCTAATGTGCTTATCATCTTCAAATATTCAACAAAAATCTGAGTACATAAAGAATTTAAAAGTGCCTTATAATTAATTTATATAGGAAGAATATTTGAATATTCATTCAAATGCCTACCAGACACTGTGCTAGGTAAACAAAGACAAATACTAGACTTGTTTC